TTTTTGTCTGGGAGAATGACTTCCTCACTGAAGATTTAGTAAGTTTGTTGTCTGCAGTAGTTGACCCAGCTTTGATATCTTCCAGCAGAGATAAATTTAATAACACAGCACTTATAGAGGGCTTTTCATCTTCCGAGTCCTTTACAGGCATTAACTAATTAATCCTTGGGGAAAGTATCACTGTTACTAGTATCTCCATATTTACAGCTGGGGAAACCAAGGCAGAGAGGTGAAATGAGTTGCTCAAGGCCACAGAAGAAGTGATTGTCAGAGTTGAGATTAGAACTTAGGAGCGCCACGCAACCAGGCCTGCCCAACTCATTAGCGCAAACCATGTAGAATAGTTCTTGTAGGCTCAGAAAGAGAGTGGTCCCTCTTTTACTCTCTCATTGGAGTGGAGCAATATGTTCTCTGGTGTTCAGTCTAGGCAGCTGTGGCCCCATGACTTTAAATTGACACTGCTGGACAGCCCAGTGGCAGATAGAACACTACCCACAGCCCTTACTGTCATTGTCTGGCTCGCTCTACCTCTAGGGATGCTAGGATGGGCTGTTTTTCTCTGCTATCACATCTTTCTGGGTGTGTCAGAACTATTTAATTCGTGTTCCATCTATCACATAGTGGTAGTTATAGCCCCTGTTTTCTATAGACCGCCCAGAAATAAACAAAATCCCCTCAAATATGGGGCCATATCCCCAACTGGTGTAAATCATCCTCACTCTGGTGAAGTCAGTGGAGCAATGCTGATTTACACTAGCTGAGGCTCTGGCCCATGACATTTTAGGAGTTTTTTTTTTTTTTTTTTAATAAGAATTGTACTGCTTGGGTGCAAAAGAACCAGAAAATGCTGAAAACATTGATAGTGCTCAGAGATGCCATGACCTGGTGTGCCAGGGAACTACTTACAGGGGTAACACAGTCAACCTCTGCAGCACTCCTCAGCTTATGGACCGCTCAGTGAGAGAGGATGCAAATACATAGAGGCCTGACTTCTCCCATGAGAAAAGGCCATAACTTCCTGCAACATGTAGCCCTGGTATTTGTATATAGATGGATTTCTCCTCTGGGTATGTCTACACTGGAGCTGGAAGGTGTAGACATACCCACTGATGGAGCTAGTGAGCAGTGTAACCACACTAACATGAGCAGCAGGACGGGCTAGCTGCCCCAAGTATTATCCCATCAGAGACCTCCAGATATAAGCTTGGGTGGTTAGCTCCTCCCACTGCTCATGCCACCATGGCTGCGCTTCGATTTTTAGCATGCTGGCTTGATTAATGCAGGTGTGGGTATGGCTACTCCAGCTGGAAATTACATTTACTGGCTCCTGTGTAGACATTTCCCCTGGGGCTACCTTCTGAAATCAGAACAGGGGATGGCTATTGGTCAAAGCGGGACTGACCCATATTGAAAGGCTGTATGCTAAGCCATGAAGGGACACCAGAAAGACACCAGTGACAGTCACTCAGGAAGGGGAGTTGTGTAGCTGTCAGCCATGAACCAACAATGCTCTGCGCCTGACCAGAACTATAGAGCAGGGACAGAGCAGACCATTTCAATTGCCTCAGAGAGGCAGTGACTCATGTACCTCAGGCCCATTTTGTTCAGATTTCGAGTGCACATTTTGCTCCCTCATCCTCCAGACTTACTGGAACCTTTCTAGTGCAAGGTTCAGCTATAGCTGTTCCTCCCAGAATCCCTGCTGCCACCTCTGACCTATCAACAAACCCAGGAGAACAGCTCTCCCAGGATGTCTCTATAGTGGATTTTCTCCCAGCAGCCCTTGTCTCCCAGGCAGCCTTTTGGGTGGTGGGCCCATCTCTGTGCCACCAGCCAGGGAGTACATGTGCTAATGGGGACCGTGGGTTATTTTTACTATGTACACATCAAAGGAAACAGTCTTCTCACCCTAAGACCCTTTTCCTGGAAAGGCAGCCATATTCTGAATGGGAATGTGACAGTCCTCGATCCTGTCAGCCAGCAGCTAATCACTCAATTGTCACCTGCTGGGTATGTGGCCTCGAGCATGGACTCAGAGAAGGGGTGCTGACAGCTTTCAGCAGCAGCTTGTGGCCCAGCTTTGAAGTATAAGTAGGAGAGCACGGAGGGTGAAGCTGCAATGAGCCAGACCTGTTGGCTCTCACATGGGAAAGTCACAGCATGGAGGGAAAAATTTTGGGGGGGGGCGGCGTTTATGGTGGAAATAACCAGAGCATTCGTGCATCGCCAGTGACTAAGGTGATGTTGGTTATTTTATTTACCCCTTCTAAGGTGTGGTACTATGGCAAAAAGCATATTCCAACTTCCCTAATGCACTCAGAGGACTCACGGGGCAGGAGGGCAATTTCAGAGTAATGCCCGAGACTCCTTCTCATGTGCTTGCAGCCACCACAGCACTTGCAGCTCCAAGAGCAGGAAGCCAAGGCAAGGAATCAAATGTGAATCACTTCCAAGTGACAGCACAGAATAGAGGCTAATGCTGGATTGTATTTGCCATGTGGAACTGAAGCCTTGTTCTAGTGTCAGGACCCACTACCACAAGTATGAGGTGGAGATACTCGGCTACTCAATTTAGAGCTAGATTTCATAGTCACCAGCCACTGTTCAAGTTGCTTGCATCCAGGCCCTTCTCTAATGCTGAAGTACTTCACCACACAACACAGCAACATCCTTGCTCTGTAGTGACCCGGCCCTCTACCAGTGAGTTGTGCTATACATACACCACTACTCACTGCTAGGGGAAAAGAGCAGGAGTTGGGACAAAGGACAGAAGATGATCAGGGCAAGGTGTTGTCTCTCTTTCATTTCCAGGAGGGCCCTGTCAAGAACTGTATTTCTTCACAAAATGCCTCCCACTGCTTTGTCCTTTGCCCATTTCTGCCTACCTCAGTGCAGCAATGAAACAAAGAAACACGACTGGGAAAAGGTTGTCATGTAGGACACTGTGTGAGGGGCTGTATCGCATAGGGTGCTAAATCTGCAGTGGCAAACTAGACACTCATCAAAGTGACTCTGAAGCCCTGATGCTGCATCACGCTCTTGTAATGCTGAAAGAAACTTGGGAACTTCCAATCGTCCTGCTGGGAAATTGAATCTGATCTACTGGTGTTGGGCTGAATGGGTAGGAAAGACCTGTGCAGGGCAATGTTTCCATAAACCCAACCCTACCCTACCCCTAGTCTCTGCTAGCTGTACTTTTTCAGTGATGCTGTCCTAAGGGAAAAGCAGCAGAAATCAAAAGCCTATTGTGGATTTTTGGAGGGTGTCAATCTTTTATCCTCTGTTCCACATTACCTAAAGGGCCTGGGGTGATCTTCCAGCAGCCAAAAAGGGCTGGATGGGACTCACTTCAGCACTCCTCCAAGTGCAGCCACAGGCGTTGCTGCTCTGTGAAAGCCTTCTGACATGGGTAGGTGTTTTGAGTCATGGGATGCGAATTCAGTGCCCAAACTGGAGAGGAGATTATAAGAAGCGGAAGAAGATCAAGGGTGCAGAGTGGGAGGGTGTCCTAAAAGGAACTAAGGTTACATTCCCTGCCTTGTTTTATTATCTTTGTTGAAGGAGCTGGTGATGCTGCTGTACAGAAAGTGCTGCCTTGTGTCCAGTTGAAACCTACAAGAATGACTCCTCGGACTGTAGCCGTCAGCCTAAGTCTCTCTCTTCAAGTAACCGCATGGAGCTGTTTTTAGCAATATTGTTCTGGCAAGTCAAGCTTTATGTTTAATGACCCTGACTAAAGGTCTGTGATCAAGGGGGTAATTTTGCTCTGGTTTTACTAAACTTCATTAGTAAGGGCTTGGTGTGGCAAAGCAAAACACAAAACCAAGGCTGAGAATCCAGATTCTCACTCTAGCCAAAACTCAGAGTTTGGAGGTGCAGATAAATAATTTGGTTTGGACCCATCTTAGTTCAGAAACAGATTCCACATGATCAGATTATCTATTCTACCTTAAACTCCTTACACTTGAATAGTTGAAGTCCTGGTGTTCTAATTAATCTAAATCTATGTATCTTTCTGTTGTGCTAAGTATCATTATTAAAAATATTAATGCTGTGCACCTGGATGTGATTGGTAGGAACATGGATTAAAAATATGGAATACTGAAAAGGTCAGAATTCTAGAATGTTAGTCACCAGGGTTCTAGAATGATAATTTTCTTATTCCCATTACACTAAGAGTCTGACATAAAATGCATGATAAAAGCAAGAAAATTCAACCGACGAGCAGAAATTCTCTCCTTAACTCACCCTACTGCATTTACTGTAGCACACCATACAATAGCATTGACGTACAAACTCACTTTCAGAGACCCCTGCAAATCAATTCTATCTACTTGGCTGAGGTGAGGGGTGTCTATGTGCAATGTGTTATGCTGCCTGAATTTTCGGGATGGTTTGGGTTGCTGAAGAACCTACGTAACAGTAGCGATATGGAAGACACAGATTCATTTTTCTGAGGGATGTTTTGTGAGGCAAGGAAAGACTTTTGTTATTATTAAACCTTTATTAGTAGTACATTTGTGCCAACAACCAAAAGAATCCACTGAAGCAAAAGAACATAGGCCCATAACATGCAAATACTTGAACATGTCTCTGGTTAATGCATGTTGGGGAATAAGGAACTGGACCCCAACAGCCTCTGCTGTTGCTGCTATCACTCCCCAGCTCCTTAATAGTGGTGACACAATCCAAAGGTGTGGTTTCCTCAGGCAAATACGGGAAGAACCAAGTGCAGAGGGAGGGGCCAGTCTCTTGCTTCTCAGAAGGCCCCCATTCTGCACAGTCCCAGGACTGCTGCTAGAACACAGCCTAACTGCTTTCAGCTATCAGGTCGTTCCTGCTCTGCTCCGAGCGGTTCCTCAGAGCAGCTCACTTTTGGATTATTAGCTCAGTCACAGCCATTCCCTTTTACTTGCTTGCTTCTGGGGACTATCCAGGATGGAGCTTTTCAAAACCAAGCAAACTGTGAATGACAGGGGTATAATCCCATCTGGACTGAAGGTGACCACATTAGGCACTAGGCCCAGTAGACACTTAGTAAGACAACACTAACTACCTTTGCCTCATTCTTGGGACATCACCAGGAGCCCCAGCAGCTCTGAAAATCAGTCTGCTTCTCTTTAGGTGCCTAACTCTTGGGTCCAAGCAAAGGATTAGTGGTTTTGGGTGCCTGAGCTGATTTTCAGAGAGAGTGCTGAGCACCCATGCTCTGAAAATGAGGGCCCTTTAGCTGGTCTCTAGCTGGGTACTCAGAAACCCAAAATGGATTAGTCACTGCTGAAAACCCTGGCCCAAGCCAGAAAAATGTGGCTTTAAAAAGAAAAAACAAACAAAAAACCCCTCTGCGTGCTTCAGGTTCCCCTTCTGTACAATAGGGATGATACCACTTCCCTAGCACTCTGGGAGTATATTGTGAGGCAACGTGCATTGAGCAAGCTGGATGGAGCCCTATTATTATAGTGGGGTTTAACTTGCTTCAGAGTCTAAAGAAGTCATGAGCATGAGAGTCATTCTGGTGAAGCATGTTGTGCTGTCATTACCCTATATACACAATTCATGCTACAACCCAGTGCAGTATTCTTGCCTCTGGAGGAATAGCTCAGTTTGTTTGAGCATTGGCCTGCTAAACCCAGGGTTGTGAGTTCAATCCTCAAGGGGGCCATTTAGGGCTTTGGGGCAAAAATTGGGGCTTGGTCCTGCTTTGAGCAGGGGGTTGGACTAGATGACCTCCTGAGGTCCTTTCCAACCCTGAGATTCTATGATTCTAAGTTCTCTCTCTTTTTGTATCACCTTCTCAGTATCAAAGCAGCAGCTCAAAACACCCTGCAGGCCACCCAGGCAATGCAGGGCAGAGCATATTTCTAAGAACAATGGAATCTGTATAGAAATAACAGAGGGAGCATAAAAACAAAAATGCCATAAGATGCAGGTGACAATGAGACTGGATTATTTTACCATTGACAGTATGGTTGGAAACATCAGTTCAACTACAATAAGATCTGTCTAGAATCTTTGCTATTTGAAGGAGTTTGGCTAACTTTTTTGTTCCATTTTCTCATGTAAGTGCTGCTGGTTTCCAGCCTGGGCTGTGCCAAATCACTGAGAGAAAGGCTTTTTTCATTTTCTTGACAGCTCATTCAGGAGCAGGAGGCACTGGAAATCTCACCAGAGAGCCTGTTCTCACATGCTTCCCAGTTTCAAATGGTTCACATCAGCATCTAGCAATCTGCAATCTAGCAATCCCAGCCAAACCAGGCTAGGTGTTTGAAATCAGCCACGTGGGATTGCACATGCGAAGAAGCAGATTTATGGCAGATGTCAGGCACCAGACAATTTGAAGGAAGATGCAAGAAACCCCTTAGTAAACAGATGTGGAAAAATCTGCCCCTGAAGAAGGTTTTATCCTAATCTCTGAAAGATTATCTTAAACCCTGAAACATGACATTTTATCTCCCTTGCAGTACTCTTTTATTAGCATCAACTATAACAACTCGGGACATTCTTGTTATTCATATAAATGTCTAGCCCCTCTTTGAATCTTGCTAAATTCTTGGCCTCAATATTATCTTGTGGCAATTAGTTCCACTGTCTAATAATGCATTGTGTGAAAAAGTACTCCCTTTCATCACTAAAACATATCGCAAGCATATGGAAGTGTCTGTGATGCTGATAAACAGTTTCCCATTAGGTCATTGTTTTTTGATTGCCTGCTAAATGCATTGTGAATTTGAAACCAAATCCTTACTTCTGAGAGAAAGATTTCTGAATGGAAAACCTGAATATAGACTTCAAATGTCCATGTGGCTTCAGTGGCAAGTTTAGAAATTTCACTCAAACATATAGAGTACATCTACACTGTAATCAGAAAGGCGACTACAGCATGTGTCTATATACCAGAGCTGGCTTTGGTCTAGACAGCTGGAATACTAATATCAGTGAGGCCAAAGCAGTGGCCTAGCTGCTTGAGTACACACGGGACATTTCTACACTGCCTCTGGGAGTGAGTGTCTCAGCCCAGGTCTACAGACTTGTGCTAGTGCATTAAAAAGAGCTGAGTAGATGCTGCAGCTTGGGCTTTCAAGTCTAAGGGAGAGTGAGGGTTATGCAGGCAGTGTTATTCACCCTAGGCTGCTGTGGCTTCACGGCTATTGTTATTTGAGACAGATCCAAGTGATCTTGGGTATGACTACACAGGCTGCAGTCACACCTCTGACTGCATCTTAGACATGCCCATCAAGAGAGAATCCAGGAGGTAAAATATATCTTTTAAAACAGCAACTGCATGTTCATGCCCCAGATCTCCATTTCTTTCATTGTACTATCAACCACATCAGGAAAACAAATTTAATTGGTCTAGAAACCCAGTGATTAGCCTTTTATTTTTGAGCTAGAATGTGATACAATAGTGGAGAAAGGAGCAAATATTTGGAGAAATTAGCACAGTTAGTGCACATTGGCACAAAAAGTTCATATTTATGGAAAAAAATCCATTTCTATGTAAAATGGCAGAATCCTGAAGGTTACCCATCCATTGCTATTTATCAAACTAACTTAGACTATTTAATCAAGCTGATGCATGCAGTTATGATTTTATAGCACTAGAGTTCCCCCAACTATGTCAGAATGGGAAGTCTCTCTACAGTTAAGTAGCCAGATCCAGCAAAATTCGCCATTCACAGTAACTGTTGGGATGTCCTTAACTTCAAGGAAGGGAGAGAATCACCTGTGTTTACTATGGCCCTACTTCAGCAGAGCATTTAAGCAAAACATTGAGGTGTCTTGTTGAACTTCAGCGGACTTAAGCAGGTTCTTAACTCTAAGCATGTGCTTAAGTCCTTCAAGTTTAGCACATGTGTAAGGAAGAGCTTTGCTGAATAGGGATGGATTCTGAATCAGGGCCTATGTGACCTAATGCAAACTGGTCACAAGGCTCAATGGAGACAACAAAATATAATATACTTAAAAAAAACACACCTAAATCTAAGGGGACGCTTTGTGCAGTTACTAATATTATTATTTGCTTTGCTTTCCCACTTCCAGCTCTCTCCTCATGTCAGCAACCTCCATGGGGACCTGGACAGTCAGACCATCCATCGCCTTCTTAACACACACCTGGCAGCCTAGACGTGATCTGAAAAGCAGACAACAGAGTGAGTTTCATACATTTTTATGGCAAAGGAAAGAGCCCACTAGCTCCCACCACCAATGCCCGTACCATTTCGTTTGTCTCCAGATTCATTCAACAGCTCAGCTATCAAAGGATGGAGCTAGCACTACCCTCCCACTCCCCCAGAAGAAGGAGATTCTTAAGACACGTTCGTAATAGAAAATAAATTACACCCTCTGAGTTACTGGTGCCTTATAAACACTAAGAGTCTAGACTACGAGGAGCAAGACAGAACGTTCCCAGTCCAGAAAGTGGTACATTTCTGTGTGCCAACTCCAACTGGCAAAAATGCTTACGTATCAGTGAGTCCATAGGCCAAATCCAGCATGTCCAGCTCCTCGTCTGTAATGGCATCCAACTTTTGAAAAACGTCCTCCTCAAAGATGAGGTGACACGTGGAGCAGGCCAATGTACCTTCACAGGCACCTGCAGGAAGTGGGAAGGGTCAGCACAGTGCATCAGAGAACAGCAAGGAGGGAGAGTAGACACTCTTGAGGAACTGTGAAAAGAGGTGGCCCTGCCTATACCCAGGCCGAAAGTACATCAGGAGAGGTTTCAGAGGGAAATCAAGGAGCCAGTCTTGCTACTAACACATTTACTGGCGGCCCCGCACCTCTTAACCAGAAGGATCCCAAAGCCAAATGAATACATAGTTGAAATATGAACATAATTGATACATCCAGATAAATAAATAACTTCATTAATACAGTCCAGGGGGTGCCAGCTAGGATGGGAGTTGCACAGATATTGCCGCTCTAGCCCTTTAAATGAGACAGGGATGTGAAAGCCCTGCACCCTGGACACATACATACTAACGACCGTGTGGCAGAGAGAGAGAGGAGCTGGCCCCCAGTTCAGCGATCCGAGTTTGACCCAACTGCAGAACTGATGATAACCAGAACAGTGAGTGACGTTGCCAGACCATTGCAAGCGCGTCTTCAGTCTCGCAATTCCCTGCATTGTTTATTTCACATTTTGTGTTTGACCCTTGGGAGCTTTATTATTGCACCTACCAAAGCCATCGATGCCCAGGTTTTGATTAACCACCACTTCCAGCAAACTCTCCCCTTCTTTGGCTGTGGCCGTGAGTCTCTCTCCATCCCGGTTTATAAAATGCACCGTCACTCTGTCCGCAGAGCTGTCAAACAAGTTACAGGAGGTCAGTGGAAGCTGGGCCACTGCTACCTATGAAACAGCTGCCGGCTGAGCAGGAGAACGAGGCAGTGATCACATGAGGAATTTACATAAGCACCCAGCTTCTTGAAAGGCTACAATGCAGTTGCATGAAAGTACTTACACTACGTATATCTTTGTGTGTCAGTCCTTGCCATTCACTGCACAGGGAAGGGCAAACTAGAGCCATTCAAATCTGAACGGACACAAACTTTACCCCTTCCTCAAATGTTTCTAAGAATAGACATGTGGTTAAGGGTGAATGAGCGCACCTGTGTATGGGCAAGGGGTGGGAGACTGTTGATTTAAACCCAAAGAGCTTGCTAGACATTTGCTATTGCTGGGGGTGGGGGGGGCCTCTCTGGGCTAATCCTATATGGAGTGAAGTGAGGATACTGTATGGTAAAGCTGCTCAGGATTAGATTTAAATTATGCAACAGGGGCTCGGTCTTTTTTTCCCCCAGGAGGATTATTTGCTAAATGCTCCATTTCTACTCTTTGTTAGTTCAACCCCGAAAGGGTCACCGAGAGCCTTGATAATACACTAAAAGCTAAATTCATCCTCATCATAAGGGGGATACAGCTTTTAGTGTATGAATGGAAATCACCCCCATTTTCACTAGGCTAGATTTGGCCCTAAAACTCTATGTGAAGGTGAAGGTCCAGGGACTTTTCTGAATATGCCCATTCTGGCTGGAAGTCTGCATAAAACTCACAACCCATTTCTGCAGGGATGCCTACAACAAATCAGCCTAGGTACATTGCCTGTAATATAACTATTGCATTATAGCAATAACAATAGATCAGACCCAGCAAGCACTGTGTAAAACCTGAGATGGGTTCTTTCTGCCTTTGCTTAGGATATTCTGAATTGCTGGTCAAAAGATGGAGAGGGATCTTCTCTGGATATTAAATCACCCAGCCCATATGCCCTTCTTTGCATGAATGCAACCTAATCAGATTTCTGTTGGCTGGAGAAAAGAGACAGGGAACTATGGAGAATGTAGTATAGAAAGGGGGATCACAACAGAGGGCTATCAATTAAACACAGCTGGTCCCCGAGCCTGCTCTAAAACATACACTTGTGACTTTACTTGGGTTCCCCAAGGTATGCCATGGCAGGAAACATTCACATCTATAAACTGCAAGCACAAAAGCTTCATCATATGGAGGTCCTAAAAGTCATATGGGTCCCATTAGCATTTCTGTGGCTCGTGTATTTCTGTTACACATCTCCTGGGCAAGAACAGAGGCAGGATTTTGGTAACCCAACTGTGCTTCCCACACAGTGCTACCTCCACAATACCTAAGGGGTGGCCAAATAAGTCAGATAAAAAAAAGACTTTTTTTGCCCCAGGCTTAAACAGAATGTCACTAACAATTGCATCGCTGAGGGTTTTCACAGCTGCCTGCGCTGCTCTGGGCTCCTCCTGGAAGCAAAGCTGTCGAGACACCCCAAGAGAAGCTGGCTGCACGCTGGCTCTGGAAATCTCATGAAACAACCTGTTCTGGCCTGGTTTGGCAGATCAATTACATCTGAATTACAGATGCTGAACTTCACCATCTGCTGAATGCTTTGAGGTTCAAAAATCACTACAGTAAAACGTCAGAAACCTCACACCCCAAGGTTACAAAATCAGGACCGACAGTGCGAACGTGACAGGTGAGGGGCTCCGAAAACAACATCCAAGAGAGAAGTGGAAATCTCAGATGAGGTGGAAATCATTCTTGCAGAAGGGAATTTGCAATTTAAATTGACAGCCCAAGAGACCTAAGTCCTATAGTTATCCACAGAACAGGCCTGCCAACACTGATCTAGAACCACCACCTCCAGGGAGGAGAGGAAAAGATCAGCCTCTGTATCTCATTCAGTCCTTAAGAACATAAGGATAGCCATCCTGGGTCAGACCCATGGTCCATCTAGCCCAGTATCCTGTCTTCTGACAGTGGCCAGTGCCAGATGCTTCAGAGGGAATGAACAGGGCAGGGCAATTAGTGAGAGATCCTTCCCCGTCATCCAGTCCCAGCTTCAGACAATAAGAGGTTTAGGGATACCCAGAGCATGGGGTTGTGTCCCTGACCATCTTGGTTAATAGCTATTGATGGACCTACCCTCCATGAACTTAGCTATTCTTTTTGAACCCAGTTACACTTTTGGCCTTCACAACATCCCATGGCAACAAATTCCACAGGTTGACTGTGCCTTGTGTTCCTTATGTTTGTTTTAAACCTGCTACCTATTAATTTAATTGGGTGACCCCTGGTTATAGTGTTATGTGAAGGGATAAATAACACTTCCTTATTCACTTTCTCTACACCATTCATGATTTTATAGAGCTCTCTTATACCCCACCCCCCGCCCCAGTCATCTCTTTTCTAAGCTTTTGCCCTCTACACCAACTTTGACAAGAAGATGGCCAATTCATGCCACCCATGTGGGGACATCTGTCCCATAGGAGCTAGACTGAGACCCTCCCCCAACTCATTTCCCATCAACCACTGAACAGCCAAATAGTAAACAATATTGGCCTAGTAGCATATCACACCACCAGCTCTCTGAGCCGTTCAGAACTTGATGGACTGACAGAGTGGCACACTGAATACAATGGCATCGTTCTGCATAGCACCTCTGAACGGGGACCTGCCCATACTCCTGTGAATTCAAAAGGCAGGAATTGTCTCCAAAGCCAACAGAACTTCAGAGCAGCTCAGTCTCCCTGGTTGACTTTGCAGGTTGCTCTCTCAGCCCTCTAGAAAGGGATGTCACCCATCTAGCAGCTTCTGATACATTCCTGAGCAACAGAAGTGTTGCTGCAGCCAGGTGGCCTTGCTTTTGTCGTTGCTGGCATCAGAAGAAGGTTTTTCAGCCTTGAGAATGATGTGTTTGTTTAGTAGAGAGAATTGGCCAAGCCTGCAATCCTCTGGTTTGCCCCTTATACAAGGCTGACTGAAACAGCACCCAGTTTCTCACAGTCAGAGTAAGATTTAAAGTGAGCAAAACTCAGCAAGGCCACATTCCTGGAAACCCAAGGGACAAAGAAACAAGCAGTGACGCTCAGATGTGCTGGGAAATTATAACACAGTCTACCGATTTCTTAGCAATATGTCCATAGAGTGCAAGCACACAAAATCAAATGACCTAAGCGTATACCAGACACTCTGAAGTTTCCAGTGTAGCTGCCCCGAAGGATGTGCTATATTGTATTTAGGCTCAGTTGCATCAGGCTCACTTGCTCAGAAAGCCCAAGAAGTAAGCAGAGGGAAAACTCGTTTATTAGGGATATCCCGGAGATAGCTGAAGCAACACCTGGGAATGCTTATGCAATGTGTTCATCCCCCGCTGTGCTGTGCGGCAGGCAGAAATCAATTATTTCCGGTATAGGGAGTCCTCCACTGATTTATTTCTATCAGTGACTGCAGAAACAGATGAGAAGGACCTAGCATAGGTGCCGACTCCATGGGTGCTCCAGGGCTGGAGCACCCACAGGGAAAAAATGGTGGGTGCTGAGCACCCATCAGAAGCCCCCCTATCAGCTTCTCCCCACCCCCTAGCACCTCCTGCCCGTGGGCCCCACGCATCAACGCCTCTCCCTCCCTCCCTGCACCTCCCGCCTGCAGAGAACAGCTGTTTCGCAGTGTGCAGGAGGCTGGGAGGGAGGGGGGAGGAGCGAGGACACGGTGTGCTCAGGGAAGGGGGTGGAACCGGATGGGAAGAAGTGGGGTGGGGTGAGAAGAGACAAGGGTGGGGCCTTGGAGGAGTCAGGGCAGAGCCAGGGGTCAAGCACCCCCTGGCACTTTGGAAAGTCAGCACCTGTGAACCTAGGTCAGACAGTTTTCATTCCCCTCTACCATTCCCAAATGTATTGGATAGAACATGTAGCATATACCTGATTGTAATGAATGGTCCCTGATCAATCCTTCAGAAGCAGGTGAAAAAAATTACCTGTGAAAATTCCACTGTGGGGAAGAGAGTTGAAATTCCTTCCCTCTACCAAGCTTACTGATCAGATTAACTCTGCACCAGTGATCCAGAATCACCATGATTGTGTCTAGCGCCATCTATACTCTTAGATAATAGTTGATCACTAGCATTAATCGTCACGATTATGCCCTTGTTACAGTATCTCACTAAATAATTAATTGTTCTCTTGAATCCTAGTAATATGGATTCCATCAGTAGTCTCCAGTGGTAGAAAATTTGAAACACTGATGATTATCTCTTGAAAAAGCCTCTGCCTAGATTTAATCTAAACTGGCAGGAGAAGGGAGCAGAAGGGTTGTCTTATTTCCTTGTCATTTTCAGGAGCCCCCTCTGTGTTTTCCCAATGCCACATAATTCAGATAGGTAAGGTATAATTCAGAGAATCATGTACCTTAAAATTAGGGGGTCTGCCTATTGCTTTTCAGGGAGTTTCAATCATAAAGCAATATCTAGAACATTTTTCAGCGCAGGACCCCCTGGAGATGAAAACAGGGAGAGAAGTCAGGCAGGAGACCTGTACTACAGGAGGAATGGGTTCTTATACACACACTCATATCACATGAGTAACAAAAATGGCCTATTGCAGCCAGAGGCAAGCAGCACAGTCCCGTTTTACTAGGCAGAGAAAATATTCAGAGCCATTTCAACCCCCACAACAGTGAGACTGACTGAGACTCTCTCTCTCTCTCAACAGAACAAGCCATTTAACTGTCTGTGGAACTTCTTCTCAGATGTCTGAAGCCTGTGCCTCCTGGAATCTTTCCTATTTGTCCGAGAAACTGAATAAAAGGATTGGATCCTTCAAAATAGGGAAAGGCAAAGTGTTGGGATTGCACTTAGAGATGGGCAAAATGCTTTGGAAGAAGGAAAAGCAAACTCCAACCTTCACCTACCTTCTGTGAGCTTTAGCGCTTCAACCATCACTAAGGCACCAGTGCTACGACCACCCAGGCATGGAACTTCCATTGACTTCAAAGGGAATTCAGCATAAGAAATTAATGTGGGATCATGCCCGAAGTCATGTACTTGATTAAGTGGGTACTGTTGCAGCTGAGTGACAGCATGGTGCCGCAGACAGAGCACTGGACTGAGAATAAGGCACCCCGAGTCCTGTTGCCACTGACTCCTTGTATAATGGCAGCGATGATAACCCGCTTTGTAAGGCACTTTTAGATCAACAACTGCCAAACCCATTATCATTGCTAGGTATTTATCAATCTTTTATTTTTAAAAATCATTACACCTTAACATCACTGCCTTAGATTAGTAAAGCTGAATGAATAATTTAGGCTGTTTACTTTGATAATCTCATACATCCTGCAGTGTGAATCTCACTGTTTAGAGGACTGAAATGATTTGGAAGATTTCTCTGGCTTGACAACTGGCTTGTCAAACAGGACTCTACAGCTTGCCTCCGTATGGTTACAACATGCTGTCTTATTATGCATGTGGTGGATGGGTGCATGGATGTAAGCAACCATTCCTTCTATGGATCTCCTGCCTTACTAGACTAGTCAGTTTCACACTCAGGTCTTCACAGACTATTATTCCCACCCTGCAGGGGAATATTTAAACATAAGATTCAAAACCCTTGTTGATCTGTCATGATGTAAAAATGACAAATTCCTATTCATATTACATTTTGCAAAACTCTTGTTGCTCCTTAACAAAATCTTGGACCAAGATTTTTCAAGAGAGACTAGTGATTTTGGGTATCCAATTTGAGACACTTTAAATGTGTCTCATTTTCAGAGGCAGGTGCTCAGCATTTTCTGAAGATTTCTCCAAGATGTTTCAATTTGGGTATCTCAAAACCTGAAGCACCCACAGTCACTAGTCCCCTCAGGCTCTACATGATACAGAAAATTAGTAGAGGAGTGAGTGGCCCTTTAAATGTTTGTTTATTTTTTCAAAGATTTTATAAGGCCACATGAAAAAGCATGGTGTCAAAAAGTATTGCTGGAAAGAATTTAGTAAGCAACAAACTAATTAAAATGGAAAACAGTTGATAGTGGCTGTTCATAAGTCCCATTAAACAGGTTTATCGCTACAACTCCTTTCTCTAAGGTCAGATAAAGTGTCATATTGTGTTTTCCATTTTGCGGGCTGGGCCCTTTTTCTAGATTTTTCTTAATCTTTGCTAGCAGATTAAAGCCTACTCAGATCACATTTGTTTGGAAGAACTACAAGTTCCCTTTCTTTTCCACAGAGAAATTAACACATTACCCTTCCACATTACCCTTAACACAAGTGGAGCTCCTTCAGAACCAGTTAGAGAAGATACCATCAGAACTGGTGAGAGACTTGAGGTAAAACTCAGACCCACCCAGAAACTCTGCATTTGATTCTGCATCCCTTACTCTCACAGAATAGCACCATTTACCTCAGGAGCCTCCCTTGTCAAGCCTGCCCCCACAAACACCCTGCTTTGCCTATATTCCCCAGCCTTGTTCCCCATTGGTCAGCTTCTCACACAACCTCCTCCATATCTATTCCTGTGTTGCCCCCCACATATGGCACAACCTCCCTTGAGTAAATCTGCAAGGCTTCTACCCTGCCCACACTTAAGTCCTTAAAACGCCACTACTGCTGTGCTGCTTAGCGTGAGCGAAGTTGCCTTGTATCTAAATTGCCTTTGGTCCTCTTTCCCTCACTAGTTGTCCTTAGACAGTGAGCTCCTTGGAGCAGAGACCATCCTTCTCAAGTATTTGGAAAGTGCCTGCACATCACGGGCAATACGGGTAATAACAAACCACACTAAATTAGAGGCAGGCTTGCAGCACTGGGCTCTATGCTTTCAATTGATATTCTGCTTTTAAAGCCACCCAAGGATTTGGTGCCAGTGAAATACCCCTTCCCTAATCCAAGCCCATTGGCTCTTTGCTTTTGCATCAAATATAAATGCTTTGATCTGATTGTAGAGGGTTGACCTGTTGCTTGTTTGGGCCCAAGGAGGCACACTTTGATTCCTGGGGGACTTTCTTTCAAAAGTGCAGAAAGCAGCTGTAAGGCAGTATACCTGACCTGCCAGATGCTGCAGTGCTCAGTTTATGCCTGATTTAAGACATTTTTAACAGCTAATCCAAGGATGGATTTGCTGACACCCACAATTTCCAAACTGCTTCTGGGGTCTGGCCCTGGGCTGGAATTCTGCAAAAGGAGAAGGAAGTGATTTTTACCTTGTGAATTTAAGAAGAGCTGGGTTGATAGGAATGGGCCTTCTCCCAGTCCTTATTCCTCAATAGTCTCCACCATCCTTTAGCTGGCAGACTCATCATTAAAAGACAGTCCTATCAAAGAACAGGAGCCTCTCTAGAATGTGCTATCCTGATGGGATCTAAAAGTCCTTCTGCACGAAGAGCTCACATGCTCGAGAACCGCCATTGGTTACTGTTTGGTGTAGTACCATGACCGAGAGGTGGGTTTGCAGCTTGGTCCCTGCCCTACGGTGCATCCCTGAGTGGAAAGTGAGGAACCCATGTTGCTCAACAGTGCCCCCTGTGGCCGATTAAATAGAAGCTCTTATTGGGATCCATCCACTAGGAAGGCAGACAGCTCCAGCATGCTTGCCCAAGAACTGTGGAGGGACGTAAAGATTGGGAGATCCTTAGGGGCAAGGGGAAAATGTAAATAAATGGTGGAATCCATCCAAGAGAAAACAGGGAGAATTTAAAAAAAAAAACAAAAAACACTCAGCTTGTGTTCCTGTTTGTATGTTCATAGTGTAACAAACCCTACAGTAATTGTGGAGTCAGCTGTATTGCCCCCAAGAAGGAGTTCCTGAGAACCTCCTGCTCCCAGCTGCGAGGGTGACAGTCAGTGCAGTGCTATGTGAGGTGCTGGCTTCCGGCTAAGAAGTGCACGGTCTGCTGCCTGCAGATGCTGTCAGCCTTACCAGCTGGGGAGTGAAGGACAAGGTCGGAATCCAAACTCACGTGGCTGTAGCTAGAAGCCTTGGCCAGCCACAGGCCATGTGTTGAATACATCCTTCAAAAACCCACACCACACTACACTAATAAAACCCTGAGGGGATATCTGTAATTCCTTAAACCCCACTGGCCTTTTTGGAGAAAAAATGGTTACTGAGGTGAAGTATTTGACATCTTTAGGACACATAACATGACCTCACCTTTCCCTCAGGTGCTGAAATATAAACCATCCTGCGGCATTAGAGTATGTAAAGCTACTATATTGGAAAATGGGTCCTGGAAGCTGTCGTCGCACACTGGGAATCCAGCCCTACTGGCAGTGACGGAGTGTATTTATTCTCTGATGGGTTGTCATAAATATAAAGGGAAGGCACCAGGTGCCAGCGAGGTTACCTTAGCTTCTTATCCCTTTACAGGTGAAAGGATTTTGCCTCTGGCCAGGAGGGATTTTATAGCACTGTATACAGAAAGGTGGTTACCCTTCCCTTTATATTTATGACATGGGTGCTTGGACGTAAAGGGAAAATGATGCAAGTCTCAGACCAATTTCTACCAAACAGGGGTCCACATCACAAAAAACACAGTCATGGTTTGCATTAATTGGCCCCCTTTTTGGCTGTCTGAGCAGAGAGGCTGAGGAAGTGCGGTTCAGCTGGACTCAGGAACCTGGCTTTTCCACTGACCTGCTGTGTGACCTTGTCAAAGCCACTGCATATCTCTGGGCCTCTGTCTCTCCCTCCACCCCCAAGGTACATAAATGTTGCCACAGTCAGAGAAATACTAGAACCCAGCTAGTCCCCAGCATTTGCTGGAACTCACTCAGATCTAAATACATGAGGTATGCACAACACAAGCTGAACTTGCCCTAAGTGGCTACTCACCCCCCACTAAATATTACCTACTGTCCCAATTCAACCCCCTGTCGACGTGTCTCCCTTTAGGACACCATGTACAATAAGCTAGTGAGAACACAGGGCAAGAACCATGCACAGATTCAGCATAACATCCACCCCAATTGTCCCTCAGGTGGCCTTGCCTCTTTCATTCTAGATACAGGTGAAGCCCTACCTCCCACAGACCGGGCTATTCACGGTGCCATTCTCACCTAGCTAGGGGATTGATTGCTATTTATTTTAAACATCCTCTTTTAAACTAATTTGTCTGTCCCACCCCTGCACCTCAGCAGGCTGAGATAGAGGCACGTGGCCCCAGGTAGATGGGGTCAGACTGTCTTTCCTGAAAGATCCTGGAAGAAATGAGGTAGAGTTGAATCTTTTGCTTACCCTGTGTCCCTTGGGACGTCATGGAGCCTGTGTGTGGAGCCGAAGCTTCTCTTTGGCTGCAGGCTGACAGGTGCCTGATTGTGCTCCGCTACTCTGAGGCATTGAAAAGACTGAACTTTGCCCAAATTAAGTCCGTTTAGCAAGGTGCGGGTAAGCTGTGGAGCGCACCGGGCCATCATGCTAGCTGAGTCTTGCTTTGTGTTTCTTCGTTCTTTTTTTGTTGCAGGGCTTCTAGCTTCTGAGGTATAAGTACAGCTGAGAGAGGGGGAAAAAAAAAATCTAGGACAGCCTCCCTGTGGAGGAGGAAAGAGGGTGTATCCTGGACCTTACTACAGCCCAACCCACTAGGTGGAGTTTTGTAAGCAGCTGTAATGTGCAACCCCTGAGCAGATTAGGACCCCAGCTGATCACACTTCACTATTCTTCCCAATTCTGTTTCATTCTAGCAATCAAACAAAGCCATTTTCAGACGCTATCTTGAGTACAATGCCCACCTACAATATGTATGTCTGTCCTATGGTTTGAAACAGTGGACTGAGACTTGAAATTCTTGAGCTCTACTGCTGTCTCACCAAGTGTGTCCCCTCGAGCACTTAGACTAGTGAGCTAGGATTCCTGGATTCTATTCCTGATTCAGATGCTGTATCACTATGAGCAAATCACTTCATCCCTCTGTGCCACCGCTTCCATTCTGTAAAATGGGCACCTTTACCTACTTCACAAGGGAGAGGAGAGGCTCAATTAGTGAATGGTTTTGAAATCCTCAGCTGCGAAGTGCTATGCAAGTGCAGATTATTATCCTGGTCATTTCAATGCACAGGGAATTTAGTACTGGTGATAACCCTAAAGCCTCAATTTATTCCCAAAGCAAGTATCGTCATGGCAGCAATAGTGTCCTCTACCCCATAACAACGCACCTCACCCCTGACCTGAAAGAGACCCGCCACTATAGAGGAGAGACAAGTCCAGTCCTGGGCTGATCATTTCAAAAGACTGAATTATCCCTAAACAAATCTGAATAATTTGACAGTTAATAGAAATATTTGTTTTAATTAGGTTTATCTATATCATAATATATACATTACTATAGAGGCATTATTAGTTACCATTATTACAGATAACCTTTTAAACTGGAACTGTCTAGGGCTCCCACATAGGTTTCAGAAGAGGATAGCAGCAAACCACCCATCTATCCCAAAAGGAAGAGACATTAGGGGCTTTAGTCTAGATCTGGACAGAAAATGGGGGCTGGGGACAAAAATTTAGAAGCAAAAATTATTTTGTTTGTTTTCAGTGGAAAAAATTGACTCTGTCAAAGAAGTGAACATTTTCAACCAGAAACGTCTTGGTTTTGGGGTTTTCAGTTTTTCCAAACATCAACACATGTTGACAAAAGCAGACATTTCATGAACAAGTCTAGTCAGTCAAAAACTCCAATAATCTGTTGGGGAGAAAAAATTAAGGGACCATTTCCAAGCAGCCAGAATTAAAACACACCATTTAAATCATTTTATTGTATTGCTCTCAAGATTAAATTGAAGGTGGGGAGAAGCTTTCAGGGAATGACCTGAGGTTCAAAAGAAAGAAGGTCCCCTCCCTGAGGTCTCAGAGAACCCATGATCTCTTGAGGTATCTGCCCTCCCCGTGATGTGCCTGTCCCATCAGTGAGATTCTCAAACATTCAGGGTTATTTGATTCCCATTCAGTGCTTTGGATCCTGTTCCTGCTCCTACTGATTTTAATGAGAGAGGATCAGCACCATTCTCTATGGGTATGTCTATACTGCCATCACAGGGTGATGCACCCGAGCTAGCTTTAATCTTGCTAGCTCAGGTGGTGGAGCAGCAAAACTGTGGCAGCATGAACTTCAGCAGATGCTGTACAAACACAGCCAACTACTCCCAGATAACTACGCCTGGGGCTAGCGCTGAAGCATGAGCTGCCACGTGACTCTCCTCTGGGACCCAAACTAGCTACCTTAAAGCCAGCTGGGGTAGGTCTACTTGAGCTGCAATATCACCCTGTGATTGTACTCTAGAAGACATCCCCATATATGGGGGAAGATGGGAGGGAGAGAGAGAAAGAAACAAAGTGCTCTGTATTTGATTGACAAATGATCAACAAATGCTTGAACTCAACAAACTCAAGCAGCATAGGATCCTCCGCTGCAAGTGCTCTGTTGGATTCATCTGGTGTCAACAATCCCCAAATCCTCTCTCCACCTTTCCCCTCTCACTATCTAATGCACACATCAGCCAGTAGAGGCCCCCATAGACCATACAGGAACAGATCCATGACAAAGAATACACTGACCACATCCATGAAGTGAGCTGTAGCTCACGAAAGCTTATGCTCAAATAAATTGGTTAGTCTCTAAGGTGCCACAAGTCCTCCTTTTCTTTTTGCGAATACAGACTAACACGGCTGCTACTCTGAAACCTGATGACTGAACATGGTTCTCTTCTCACCCCACTGACCCAGATCAGGAGTTACTCCCTTGAAGTCAGTGGCAGAAAACCAGTGTGAGTGAAAGGGGAATCAGGCCCTTCCCTGTAAAACTTAAGAGGGGGAGGTGGCAAATCAGTGCTCAGTCCTGTATTGATAAGCATTCTCTACGCAACACACAGCAAGTCTTAATGCCTTGCCACAATGGGGACACAGCTCAGAAGCGCAACACCAGGTCACCCATAGGCAGCGGGTATAATAGGCCAGGGGAGGCTAAGCCTCCCCAAACCCAGACTGTGGCCCCGCTCATGCTCTGCCCCGAGGTCCCACCTTCACTCCTGCTCTTCCCCAAAGCCGGCGGAGGCTCAGCTCGGGCCTATGGAGCTCGGGGCTTGGCCAGCCACTGCACTATGTGGCTGGCAGGCATTGCGGGAAAAGGGGAGGCCAGCATGGCTGGGGCGAGTGGGCAGGCTGATGATTGGGTTGGCTGGGGCGGTTAAATGCGCCTGCAGGTGGTCCAGGCAGCTGGGGCAGGCAGGCTAGTGCTTGGGACAGCTTGGCCAGGACTCCTCTGGCCACGGTGGGGGGGAGCTTGGCATTCCAGCAGGCAAGGGGGTGTGGAAGGGGCAAAGCCGGGGGCTAGCCTCCTTAGAGTGGGGGTTCACATCCTGCCCATGACAGCATGTTAAAAGGCTGCACACTGAATGACAGACATGCTCTCCCACACAAAGAGGCTGTGTGTGGAGTTTAGTAGGAAGGGTGGTCTTCAGTAAGCAGCTAGATCTCTTCAGCAACCCCCACAAGTGCATTTGGGCCTGGTCTACCTTAAAGGTTAGATTGACCTAGCTATAGCAGTCACAGGTGTGAAAAATGCACCCCCCCAAGAGACATCATTAAGCCATCCTAACCCCGTTCTAGTCAATGGAAGAACTCTGTCAATCTAGTTACTGCTGCTCAGAGAAGTGGCTTAACTACAGCGATGGAAAACCCCCTCCATCACCCTAAAGAGCACCTCCAGCATGGCATTACAGCAGCACAGCTGTGCCTTCATAACACCCACAGCATAGGTATTACATTTACTCTGCTGTAAGGCCCACGTAGCATTGTGGAGCCTATCAGCGTTTGTTCAGCCCAGTACATTTTCCCATAATGGAGGGGGGTGGAGGGTGGGAACTGAAGTATTATTATGGTTTTAATCTAATGAATATTATTACCCTCTCAGTCCAGATGATATCTGTGCCTCCCACACTGAGACAATTTCTGTATGTCCCATGCTTCACAGGGTACAGATGTTAAAGGAAGGAAATAAACCCTGACAAGGGCCCTGCCCAGTAAACTTGGTTTTTAATAGTCTGTACACGCACATATGTTAGAGATGGAAAAGACTTCCATTGTTAGGGTTTCTCACCCATTGCACAGACCGCGACCCCCAGTCAATATAGCACTGGCCCCTACAGTAAATCTCCAGTTTTAAATTATTTGTGCAATAGGGCAGGAAAACCAACCTCATCAACCCTGTCCCAAGTTATGCAGGAGTTCAGATGGAGCTGTTCTCAAGAGTGCCCTCATTCACACAGCGACTTCACTGTGGTAAGGGAACCTTTTCACTGGAGATGGGGATCAGACTAAATGCCTGAGCTGAGACCCCTAAAATGTTGAGGAAATTCAGCCCCAGATTAACATGTAACAGCTGGTTTGATCTCTATCACATGCTGAACTAAAATGTTGGGCCTGAATCACAAAGGCATGAAGTTCAGATCCAAACCCAAACTTTGTGGCTCAGGCCCACCTGTAACTTTAACTAGCAAACACTGCGCATGGTTATTAAAAGTCTCCTCCAATCCCACTCTCTGCTCATGAGTCTGGATTTGTAGGTGCATCTCAGCACCTTGGTCCCTTTCTGTTCTCTCCCCTCTGCCCCCCATCCCTGTGTTAAATGAGAACTGGATTCACCATGAACAATATGGAAAAAGGACCAAGAGCACATCCAAACAAACAGCTGAGCAGCTAATCTCACCAGCAAACCTTGAACCGAGAGATAAGCAAGACATAGGAGCAGCAGCTCTCCTGCAAGGACGCTGGCATGTTTGCTTAGCACTGACCTCCTTCACTACCAAGAATTCTAAAACTGCACAGTGAATGGCAGGTCAATGGTACAACAAGGGATAGCCCAGCTGAGGATTGACGCTGAGCTCATTACCCCCATCCCTCAAGGGAGCACTGCAGAGGCTGTGGAATCGGTGGATGGGGAGTAACTCCCCTCCAGCTAAACCACTGCCAGGTCTTGGAGAGAGAATGTTCTCAGGGATCAGCTGACAGCAGGGCATCACCTAATTTTGGACCTCTGAGGATAATATAAGAGAGGCAGTGTGTGGACACCTCCATCTGCAAAACTAGGACCAATCCCAAAAGTAAAATGTAGCGTTTGCAAAGTGACAGAGCTCACTCCCTAAACCTGGAAGACAGCGAAAGAGCTAGGGATAAAAACACAGCGTACTGCACAGAGAATGGCTCTTAGCAGCATTGATTTGCCTGTCCAGCAGTTAGTGCCCTGTCTTGCCCAATCAGATTCAAGTCCTGGTAGGGTGACCAGACAGCAAATGTGAAAAATCAGGACGGGGTGGGAGGTAATAGGAGCCTATATAAGAAAAAGACCCAAAAAATCAGGACTGTCCCTATAAAATCAGGACATCTGGTAACCCTAAGTCCTGGCCCCAGACTCTGCTCTGCTGAGTAGGCAGGAGCTGAGAGGGAAGCAGGCTTTCCACCACTGCACACGCCTTGAGCAGTGTCATGTTCTGCTGCTGCAGCACTTGCCCAGACAGTGCATGCAGCCCTCACAGTA